TAGCCTCTGTGGCACTCTGAAAGCCTCCAGGTTAGCCTCTGTGGCACTCTGAAAGCCTCCAGGCTAGCCTCTGTGGCACTCTGAAAGCCTCCCATTCTGCATACACAGTAAAGGCCACCCAACGAGTAAAGGACCTATACCATCTTGCTGAACAGCACCGCTTTTTTTGTAAATTATGAAGGACAAATGGGGTCTCTATTCTGCGTGATTTCAAAGAACATCAACATTTTATGTCCGATAAACTGGTCTCAACCATTTAGCTAGACTAAGCTATTCCAGAACTGCAAGACTGGTTCAATGGAACACAGGGTAGTGTGTTTAGATATATTCTTTTTTGTGTATTCATCATTATTTTCATCATTCTTTCGTGCATTTTAACTTTCTAGCCACATAAATTCCAACTCAAATTTTCTTTTGGAAGTAATCAACTAGTTTCTTGTCTGCAAAGCTTTTTGTGGAGTTTTAAGAAGAGGAAATGAAGGGAACAGTGACTCACCAGAATGGAATCAAAATTACTTTAAATCAAAAACATCTGAATAAACAGTAATCATAGAAACTTTATCAAAATTGATCTTTGTTGACTTAAGCAGAGCTTCTTGATTATACAACTGCCAAAAGAAATATCACCCTCTGAAGGAGTTTGAGAAGACTGACCCTGAGCAATGAGACATGAGAGTTTGGCTGTCAACGATCCTCTGGTGAGCTGCCAGGCAGGAAGGGACTGCCCTGCAGAATCTAGATGGAAAAATTTCTAAGTACTCCAGATACAGCTTGTCACACATTTCTGATTAAGCCTCATCTCTACCTACTCACAGTACTTTTGATAAACTGGCATATAGTTTCTTTTTCTGTTCAAAGAGCCAGGTTTTTTAGTGTGTGCCACAGGGATATATATTTCTGTCAGTCTGTCTGTTGCCAATAATTCACAGGCTTCCATTTCAGAGACAGAGAAAGGCTTGAATTGTAGAGGAATACTTTCTTCTCAACACTAGCAATCTAGGTGATTGCCATAAACTTTGTTGACTATACACCACTTCTGCCTGTAATATTATATTCAAGTGTATGTCTTCTTTATTTTAGGGAAGGGTCTACAGATTGTTCAGGGTCTCACTACTAGATCAGATTTATAGTGATCCACCTGTTTACAGACCCCCAAGAGCTGGGATTACAGGTGCACACCATCATGCCGAGCCTCAATTGTCATCTCAGTGCGCCCCAGGGCAGGGCTGGCATGGCAGGCCTGGGGATTGAACCCCAGATCCCTGTGCCTGTTCGCATATGCTTAAATCCACTGAGCTTTTTGGCCGGTCCATAAAGTATAGGTCTTTAAAAATAAAAACTAAAGCTTCATACTTTGGAAAAAGGAAAAACTCATTCTTTGTCTCACATTTTTAAAGAATAGCTTGTTATAAATAAATCTGTAAGATGGGTCTCTTTGAAATCACCAGGACTCACGATAAATTTCTTAACATCATATAGATGGTTAAACAGTTGATGCCATTAGCAACCAGGTGAGAAGTTCATTTATCATTCTCCCATTTTGAATTTGTGGGATTATGTGCTATAATCCAGGACAT